TGAAGTGTGCCTTTGGCTCATAAAAATATAATTCAGGTCTTAAATTTAGCACATCCCAAATGAATGACTGTACCAGCTCTAGTAAACATTTACTGCTTACTTGCTCCTTGCAGGATTTAGAAGTCTTTGCAAGAAAAGTTTAGAAGAATGATGGTTTTTCATGCTGGGGGAAAAAAGCTGTTCAGAGAATTTTGAACACTTATTTTCTATTTTTTTCTAGATAAGAGTCCCTGTAGCAAGCAGGCATTCCAGAATCAAACCCTTTTCCAAACCCATTCCTTCCAAAATGAGGCAAGCCAGTGCCCACGGGTCTGAAGGCATCTCAAACAGCTTTGTTGCTAGACCGGAAACAAAAAAGACTCTCTTGAAACAAGAGACCATTTATTTGATCTTTTACAATTCCATTATTTTTCATTCTTTTCTTTCTCTTTCAAGATTTGGGAAGAGGTTTATTTGTTTCTTTCTTTCCATCTGCTGCCTCCTACCAGCCAACCCAATACAGGGAGTCTCAAAAAATGTGAGGTCACATGGTGGGGCAGCTTTAAGTGGTGGGGGGAAGGGAGTGATGGGGCTCAAGCTGGGGGGAAATATGAGAGCGGAGGCTCTGATGGTGGTCCCTGTGGGTGGTTAGCACAGGGCCTCTGCTGAAGAAATGGCAGGTGTCCAGATAGAGGCCACCAATTTAACTACAGTTGTGAATGGCAGCAGTGCAAAATGGAATTAGCAGACAGCCTTCCCATGAGTGAGGGTTGGGAAGAAGTGGACAGAATTTAATCTGGAGAAACCTGGAGGAACTTCTAAACTTCAAGGAAGGCGTAGGTGGGATCATTATAAGGTTGACCCTATTTTTCTGAAATCACGGAGAGAATAGAATAGAATATTGGATGGCTGCCCTGTCCTCCATGTTGGGATGGCATTATGAGTAAAAAGCAAGATAGGATATTGCTGTCATAATGGGAGGAGAACTTGATTTGAAAACAGTTTGAATGAAGGTTGAGGCTGGGAGGGGCAAGAATAGTTCACAAAAGACCCCCTTTCGGTGTTCTGTGTGATTGACGACACACAGCTGAGAGCACACGGCGCACCTGCCAGAACGTCATTAGGTGGCCAGCACTTTAGTGAACTAGGCACGAGTACTATGAGTTGCAGGTGGCTATGAGTTCATTCAGAACTGAGTTCATTCGGCTGAGGATTGGTCCTTGGAGAACAAAGCTAAGTTGTGTCCCTTCCCACTGGGTGACATCTGCTGGGGCCCAGTTAGAAAACTGGAACAACATGTGACATTTTGGCCCTAGCAATGGGAAAGGAGGTGACATTTGTTGAACCCCCATATGGGCCGCGCCCACACAGGAGGCTGCGTGCTGACGGGGGGCCACTCGGCGGATAGCTGAGCCAGCAGGTCTCTGCTGTGTCCTGAGCAGTCTCTGCTCTCATTCCTCCTTCGTTTCTGTGCTCTGCATTCTTTTTGAGCAGCAGGCAAACCCCACCTTCCAGCTAAGTCTGGTGTCTGTGTCCGAGAGTCTCTGCATTCCAGGTGGGGTCCTCCACGGTGGGATCGTGGGGACTTCATTTTGTGGGTGGAACTAACTGCCCACAGCCTGCTTCTCAGTGGCAACCAGCTTACCCCAGGCACCTGAATCAATAGGTCAGATGGAACTTCTGGTAAAAAAGAAGCTGTCGATTAAAAAAACAAAACTAAAAGGGAGCGTTAGGTAAGAAAGGAGGGGAAGCCTGGGGCTCGATGGAGAACTGGGTCAGGGGTTGGGACTGTAGACTGAGTGAGCAGTTTTAAAATAATCACTTACAAAGGAATGCCCTGGAGGAGATATTGAGCAAGTGGCTCCTTTTAGGCGCCTGTCAGCCTTCTGTCCCACCTTCCTAGGGATCCCTAGGAGCCCGGTGGAGGTGCTGGGCTTTGAGGCAGAGTGGGGGAGGTGTCTGCGAGCTGCCTCTCTGTTTGCTGAAGTTCTTTCTTGACATTGAACCCAATGGACTTGGGGACTGAGAGAGGAGGGTTTGCTGTTTGCTTGTTTTGTTTTTGTTTTTGAAAGGCAAACACTTGGTTTCCATTCTGGCAACTTGGGTTGGCGCAGCAGCTTTGCCCAGTAGATGCTCTAAGTGCTTGGGAGGAGAGACTAACCTGACTCACTTGTGGAGAGAAACCCCAGAGGGGGTGGGACAGAGCCTGAGACAACATCCAGCCGGGAGCGTAGGGGAGCAGGTATAGGGACGGCTGAGAAGACTTAACAATTGTTACCATCACATACCCACATTGGGGAAAACCTGCAATTCTGAACTTCAAACCCTAGAAGGAATTTTTAGGTCATAGACTTATTCTCTTAGTCCAGGTCCATGTTGAGGGGACAGAGGTTCTGGGCAAAGAGAAATAAGACCCTTGTACCCCGCACAAGGCCAGGGACACGGCTTATGGTAGCTCAAGGCCGACCGCAACGAGCCCGCAAGAGGAGCATGAAGGGTATGGGAAGGAGGAGCAGCGTATGGGGAGGAGAAGTTGGTTCTGCTGGAAGAATCGATGTCAACATTTACATCTTTTCCCCACTGGATATGCAGTTCGCCACTCTCTGCTCAACGCTGGGGGCTGGGCTTGTTTGTCTGCTTCAAGGGAAAATGGGGTTCCTATGAGGAGCCCACTTGGGGCCTGGGCTTTCCAGCAGCCTGTTGAAAGAAGGATTTTGCCCTACAGGATCCCTCTTCTATTCTTTAGACAGCAAAGCTTAAAACCATCCAGCAACAGGTCAATTCCTGCGGGACAGTAGGATCCAGGATGGATGTTCCCATTTTATGGATGAAGAAAGTGAGGACCACAGTGGAATCAGTCACAAAACCACAGCCAGAACCAAAAGTCTTAACTCCCATTTCACTCCCTTAAAGACTGTGGAACATGTTTCTAGACAAGCACACTGAGATTATGTAAAAGGCTAAGATAAAAAATAAGGACATAAGGTGCTATATAATATCTAAGTTGCCCTAGCTCTACCCTCTATATTTCATTTCAAGAGGAGAGAAAGATTCTCCCTCTTCAACTTGACTTTCAAAAACCGACCAAGAGGTCCAGAAAGGCAAGGTGCCCGGTGGTGAGAATGGGGAGGGAGGGCAGGGAAAGCAGAGTTACAGAGCAGCAAGACCTGCAGAGAGTGAGCTGGCACCAGCCTAGGGCATGGCAGATGTGCAGCAAGTGCTGTTCCTTTCCTCTCTTAGGGACCAAGTCCCTCACCCCTGCAGCTGGCACAGACTCGATGGAGTAAAGGACAACTGGGCGTTGTTCAGATGTCCAGAGATAGTGAGACTTGGGATTGAGCCTCTCTCCAAGGCTTTTAGCTCTATGATTTATTGATGTGATTATGATTATATAAGCCAGGTTGGGAGAAAAGATTAAGGAAACACGAATTTGCTTCTTATTGCAAATCAAATATGTTGCATAGCTAGATCCCTGTTGAATCATCCTTACTAGGGAGTTGAGACATAGATTGGAGACTTGGGGTAAAACATGTGAGATGGTAAATTACATTTACTGAGTTTTTGCTGTTAAATAGGAACTGTGCTAGACATGTGTTTTTATCTTGCTCTGTTTTTAAAACAACCATATTCTTTTTTGCTTTTTTAAGAGAGGAGACTAAAACTCAAAGAGGATTATGAATTATCCAAGGTCATTGAACTAAAATGCAATAAGACTGAGGCTTAAAATGCAAAGCTTATTATTATTTTTTTTTACATTATTTTCATGCTAACTCTGGCCTAGGAGCTGAGACATCCTGGTTTTGTGACTTATGGTGCTTGTGTGACATGGAAGGAAAAGCCTTGACTGTATCCAGAGCAACAATGACACCTAACATTTGTACCAGGGGCCATGGTTTTCAAAACACTTCACAAGATTTTCCCTTTTATAGCCCAGTCACAGAGCTAGTAAATGGTCAACGTGAGACTCACACCCAGAATGTCTTTACATTCACTGTTCAGTTCTAGTATTCCATAGTTCCTCTCCTACATATTTGGTCCCAGGGTCAGAGGAAGGACAGTCTGGTTTAGGTGTGGGTGAGCTGAACATTTGCTGTCTGATACTCATCCACCTCTGCCTATCACCGAGAAGCCGGAGCTCCTAATAGTTTAGCAGAACCACAGGGAATACACTGTGGATAGTCTAAACCAATATACACTTGGGATCGTGTGAAGCTTTTGTAGATTTCTGGTTGGTGCCCAGGATGAGACAAAGCCCAAGAGCGGAGAAACTTTCCCTCCTCACCCTCTGGGTTTTCATGACAGTTGATCCTTCTAAAGTCTTCTGATTGCAGGAAAGAAAATTCTTTCCCCAGTGCCTGGTTATTGGGCATTTCTGATGAGGTCCCCAGGAAGGAAAGAGTCAAGATATTTTGAAGAATACTCTCCTACAGTGTCGTAGGTCTATTACCTCTCTCTGCAAGAAGGTGCCTGTCTGGCCACCTCACATTTGTGCACTGCAAAAGCATTACTGAAAAGTCTTTCTGGTACAGAGGAAAGAGCCAAGAGAACTCTCGGGCTGGAGCTGAGGGGCTCCCACTGTCTCGAAACTCTGTTCTTTCATCAGCTGAACGGGGGTGATGATTCCGCACAGCTTCCCTTGGGTTGGTCCAGAGCAGGCATCAGCATTCTGAAGAAAGTCCTTTCTCAGGTTGAGAAACCCTCATCCTGATCTCTTCTGATGATTTTACAAAAATCAAATTGCGTGACAGATGCCCAGATAAACAGGAGAAGTTTGCAATCAAAGCAAGGTCTGGGATGGAGCTGATTAGTAAATTTTTAATGGCTCTTAGCTTGATAATCACTCACCAGGAGTAGCTCCCAGGCAGGCCAAGCCCATGCATAAGCGGCCCACACCCAGGCACACCAACACCTAGTGGAGAGGTATAAAAGGGGACCCTGCAGTGTCCCAGCAGCACAGCTCAGTCGCCACAGCTCTTGCTCTCCTCAAGAGCCTCCCAGTGTCCTCCTCGAGCCAAGGCACCATGAGTTGTCAGATGTCGTGCAAGTCTAGAGGAAGAAGCAGCGGTGGTGGCGGTGGATTCCGCAGCTTCAGCAGCGGCTCGGCTGTGGTCTCTGGCGGGAGCCGGCGGTCAGGCACCAGCTTCTCCTGCCTGAGCCGCCATGGCGGGGGCAGTGGTGGCGGCGGCGGTTGCGGAGGGGGCTTTGGCAGCCGGAGTCTTGTTGGCCTCGGAGGGACCAAGAGCATCTCCATGAGCGTGGCTGGAGGAGGTGGCGGCTCCTCTGGTGGATTTGGCGGCAGAGGAGGTGGCTTCGGAGGCGGTAGTGGCGGCTTCGGCGGTGGCAGCGGCTTCGGCGGCGGTGTTGGAGGCTTCGGAGGCAGCGGTGGCTTTGGAGGTGGCAGCGGTGGCTTCGGCGGCGGCAGCGGCTTCGGCGGTGGTGGTTTCGGTGGAGGCGGAGTTGGTGGAGGCCGCTTTGGAGGTGGCGGTGGCTTTGGAGGTTTTGGGGGTCCTGGTGGCTCCGGGCCTGGAGGATTTCCTGGTGGCTCCGGGCCTGGAGGATTTCCTGGTGGAGGCATCCACGAAGTCTCCATCAACCAGAGCCTCCTGCAGCCTCTCAACGTGAAAATTGATCCTGAGATCCAGAACGTGAAGTCCCAGGAGCGGGAGCAGATCAAAACTCTCAACGACAAATTTGCCAGCTTCATTGACAAGGTGAGTCATGAGGAGCTGGCTGGGCTGATGCTCAGATGCCCTACTTCCAGGGCTGACTGAAAGGCCAATGACAGAGATTTATGCCTTTCAGGAGCCTTCTGTGTAGTCATACGAGCCCGGGGTATTGGCAATATCCAGACAGGAAAGGACACACTCTGCAGTTAGGGTTGTTTGTGCCCTGGCTCTTATTATTCCTGCTCAGACAATGTTTATGGAAACTTCTGAAACCACAGAGAAATGGCTGTAGACAGGTAGAGAACTGACTAGTTGGGGCCACGTGACAGCAGGTTTTGAAAGGCATTGGGAAAACATCTGCGTAGTTTCTCCTTCCCTAGAATTGATTCCTCTATTCAATTCTGGGAAGTTGAACCTGAAATGTCTGCTTGGGGAAGAATGAATTTTCTGCCTTCAAGAGCAGCATTCTCGGTTTTGTGACCCATAAAGTCTTTATTGGTGTCACTCTGTAGTGTTAGCGTTTCTCTCCTATTCAAGCAGAGGAGCCTGTCTGAGGAATTTACAAGCCTCTTAAGAAATAGGCCGAGGAGCCCTGCCCTCTAGTGCCTTCCCACTCAGCACCTTCAGGAGCGGTGCCAGTGGATGCCTGCTCTTGGTTTTCCCCAGAATTTATGAGACCTTCGCTGGGAATCCAACTAGGGCGGGGGAAGGAAAGAGCCTGGAGCCTTGGGAGCAGCTGGAAACAAAATAGTGGGTAGTGAGATGGGGAAGTGCTTTTCTCTGCATGGAGACTGCCAGCCAGTGCATTAGGAGCTCATGGAACTTTCCTACTATGGAGCCCGGGAGCTCAGAAGCTCTGCCTGGCGGGATCTAGCATCCACGGGGAGGATGAAGCCGAGTAGACTTCTGTATGTGCAGAGCTGCGCCCGAGTGGACGCTGGCAAGGGCGGCCCTGCTGGTGGGACGGGACATCCAGAGCTCATGGGCTCTCCTTTCCGTCACGCAGGTGCGGTTCCTGGAGCAGCAGAACCAGGTGCTGCAGACCAAATGGGAGCTGCTGCAGCAAATGGATGTTAGCACCCGTTCTACCAACCTGGACCCCCTGTTTCAAGCCTACATTGCCCGGCTGAAGAAATATGTGGATTCACTCACTGCAGAAAGAACAGCACAAGATTCCGAGCTGAGCAACATGCAGGATCTTGTTGAAGAGTTTAAGAAGAAGTAGGTGGCAGGATAAACAGAGTGGAGACAAATTGATCACAGCCAGTCACTCCCAGGAGTCATTCATCTCCCAGCTGCATCTGTGGGGCTAAAGGGAGCCACGTCTGTATCTTTGTCAGGAAGTTGAGGGCTTTAGAGGTCACCTTTTCTGGAAGCTGGAGAGTTAATTGCTAGAAAAGCATCCTCATTTTGGGATATCATAGTTTCCATTTTAACATGAGAATTGTTCAATATTCCCTGAGATTAGAGCATTTTGAGTGGAAAAGGAAAGGAAAAAAGTCAACCAGGATAGTCTAACCACCGTGTCCCTGGTCCCAACAGGTATGAGGATGAAATCAACAAGCGTACAAGTGCTGAGAATGATTTTGTGACACTCAAAAAGGTGAGCAAGAGGCTGGGGTAGGCGGCGGGGGGAGCGAGGAGGGAGGGTGCTTTAGTAGCCCGCGGTGCCCAGACAGACGCGGCTGTGAGCGAGACCAGCAGTGACCAGGGTAAGGGGTTGAGGTGGGGTGCTGAGTTGGTTCTCTTCAAAACAAGGGCTTCTGCAGGTCAAGCTCTTCTGGGGATGCTCTGCTAAGGTGCTAGCGTATCTCCTGGTAATAACCTGCTTAAAGCCTATCTTGGATCATGAAAGATACACACACAGAAATCACTTAGTTATTCTAAAGAGTTGAGGAAGGCCTGGGATGGCCTCCACGATGCTTGCATAAAGATGCTGTCAGTTGTGCTGGCAAAGGCATGGGCTAGAAAGCAGAAGTGTGGGGTCTCAGCCTGGTTGCTGCAGAAGCTTTGGTGTAAAAGGCAGAGAAATCGGGCCGGGGGGGGGGTGGTGGTGGGAGAGTCGAGGCAGTTCCAACCAGGAACTCTCATGGTCTCGAGGTGTGAGCAGTGGGCATGGAGCCCCCAGCGAGGGCGCATTGTCCTGCAGGGACATGGATCAGCTCAAGTGCCTGAGATGTTGGGGAGTAGCTAGCAGGGAGGAGGGGCTAGCCCTGGGGGAGAGAGGCAGAGAGGGCGGGGCCCACACATGGAATGCTGCGAGGTGCTGGCCTGGGAGCACAGTTTCACCCTGAGCTCTCCCGCAGGACGTGGACAATGCCTACATGACGAAGGTAGAGCTGCAATCCAGGGTGGACGTGATGAACCAGGAGCTTGAGTTCCTGAAGGTCCTCTATGATGCGGTGAGTGGGTTAAGCCCTTGCTCCCCACCCTCCCCACCAAAGAACAGTCCTTCCTAGTTGGCTGCCTTCTGGATACTTTCAGAACTGCAGGCCTAGTGCTGACAGGCAGGCTCAGACATACAGAGTCCTCTCCCATAACTCTCAGGGCAACCTTGGCAGAAGCCTAGGAATGGTGGTTATGATGCTGAAGTCCTACCCAGTACCTGCTGAGTCCGGAATTTGTGCATTTCCGCCTGGTGGAGGATGCCCCCTGACCGCGGGGAAGCGTGGCCAACTTCCCATGTGTTACAGGAGCTGTCCCAGGTGCAGCAGAACGTCACTGACACCAATGTCATCCTGTCCATGGACAACAACCGCAATCTGGACCTGGACAGCATCATTGCCGAGGTCCAGTCGCAGTATGAGGAGATTGCCGAGAGGAGCAAGGCCGAGGCCGAGGCCCTGTACCACAGCAAGGCAAGTTCTAGCAGCCGCGGAGCCCCGCCCTCTCCAACAAGTTGGGTTTCACCCTAGCCAACGAATGTATGGTTAGATTATTGGTGTTTTTGTCCAGTGGAAGTTGGGCATTATTCCCCAGAGTGTCCATAGTAGCCCACCTGCCCTCAGTTGCAAGTGGCACCGAGGCCTTTCGGGGCTGTGAGATGGTTTCCTGCCTCTCACGGATGTGCCATGACATTCAGCTCGGATGACTCTCCCCGGGCCTGTAGAGTACTTTCCTGGCTCAAGTCCAGCTGCCCCCAAGCCGCCAGCTTCCTTCTTGTCCCTTACAGTATGAGGAGCTCCAGGTCACTGCTGGGAAGCATGGGGACAGCCTGAAGGAAGTCAAGATGGAGATCAGCGAGCTGAACCGCATGATCCAGAGGCTGCAAGCGGAGATCGCCCAAGTGAAGAAGCAGGTGGGGGTGACTCAGGACTGGCCGGCCCTGCTGCTGGAGTGGGGCCCGGGGGTCTGGGAGGTCGTGTGTAGGGGTGTGTGTATGTGTATGTGAGAGAGAGTGAGAGAGCACGGAAACTGAGAAATTCTAACCTAGCATATGTTGATTCTAAATACCTCAAGTTTAACATAATTTAAGGTTCATAGCAATCGTTAGAATAGCCTAAGTGATATTCTAAACTAAGGATCAGTGCAGGGGAAGACTTATGTTCTTTTTTTCACTGCTTACGTGGGTGAAAGGGAACAAGGGCGGATAAAGCAGAGGCTGTGGGACTCACCAGGCGTTGAAGGCCTCATCTCTCACTTCTGCTTGGTTTGGCCTTGTGCACCAGCCACGTGGGGCATAGAGTGGCAGCAAGTGCTGCTGGGGGTTGGCCTGGGCTGGAACATTAGCTTTGGAAGTGGGGCCGAGAGTCAGCTCGCTCACAGCAGAAGTTCTGGGAAGTGTTTCAACTGTAAAATGGGCTAATGACTCTGGCCCTGTGTTGTGAGGATCAAAGGTCATAATGGGGAAGAGTCCTTAGGCCCCAGGTCAACGTGATTTGGGAAGACGATGGCTCAGAGGCAACAGCAGCTCTTAGCACAGTTGCTTGTGACTTGCCTTAAGTCCAGAGGGACCTAATACTTCCAGCGTCAGTGATCCCGGCTTTCTGTGCCCTTTGGTCCTTTGCTCCCTCTCCCCGCTTGCCCAGTCCACTCCATTCTCTATACAAACAGAAACCTTCTCTCCTTTCCTCCCAGTGCAAGAGTATGCAAGATTCCATTGCAGACGCCGAGCAGAGGGGAGAGAGCGCCCTCAAGGACGCCGGGGGCAAGCTTACCGGGCTGGAGGAGGCCCTGCAGCAGGCCCGGGAGGACCTGACCAAGCTGCTGCGCGACTACCAGGAGCTCATGAACGTGAAGCTGGCCCTGGACATGGAGATCGCCACCTACAGGAAGCTGCTGGAGGGCGAGGAGTGCAGGTGAGGGCACTGGGAGGGCAGGAGGCTTCCCCGGTCTACCTTCCCCTCTCTCCAGGACCCAGGGCTGGAGGTGATGGCAGGAAAAGTGGCTGAAGGCCAATGTCACTGTGTTTCCTAAGCAGAGATGCAGACACAAAGCAGTAGTGTACGGTTGTGGGTTTATCAATACGGAAGGGCTAGCAAAGCAGATTCAAATTAAATTAGAAATGAAATTAGTGGTAATTTAATCTTGTTTTTTTTTTTGGAAAGAGAAAACAGAATTCTGTGCAAACGAGTTAGTCTAGACAGTTGGAAACATGGGCCTCTGGGTCCGCAGGGCCGGTGCCCTCTTCTCCGTCTGCCTGGTGGCCCGGGCGGGAGCCGGTGCCCTGGTACATGCTGGCTGGCTGAGCCACGCTCACCGGGGCAGGCACCAGACCCATGCAGGCTTCTGGTGGGACAAACACTCGTTTGCTACCTCCGTGGCCTTCCTCTGTGTTCTGAGACCTTTGTCAGCATCGCGTGCATCCCTGGTGATTGGATCTGACTGAAGCAACTGGAAGGGTCAAGCCCCCAGCCTGCCAGCCAACCACAGGCGGAGTGTTCTGCCCAGCCTGGAGGCCCAGGCTTGCAGGACGATGTGGGAAAGACCTGGAAGGAGCCGTGTGGGTGGGGCGGAGGTGGGAGGGCGCATACAGAGCTGCAGTTCTTTGGGAATTTTCTGTCGACAGTGTAACGTCATTTCAAAATTTCTGATGTGACTTGAATTCTGGATATCAGACTCCTTGCAACAGATTTAATTACAAAAATGGGTTGCAAAGTCAGGAGTGAGCATTTGCAGTCATTCTTATCTCTCCTTTTGCTCTCAAAACTTGAGAGGGATTGGATTCCAGGCTGTGCAGAAATGTGGGCTGCTTCAGCAACGGGAAGCGGCGGGCTCTGGGGGGCCTTGGCGCTGACTTCAGAGGCCAGCTGTCCACTGGGAGAGGCGGGGGGAGGCTGTGGAATGACACGTGTGCAGGCCCCAAGTGCTCTGCCTCAGGTTATTTTCTCTCTCTCCCTGCAGGATGTCTGGAGACTTCAGCAGCAACGTGACTATGTGTAAGTGCTGGGGTGTGTCCTATGCTGGGGTGGTGTGTTGGGTGAGGCAGGCTGAGGCCATTAGAACTCCCTGGTCATGCCATCTCTCCTTGCAGCTGTGACGAGCAGTTCCATGTCTTCATCTGTGGCATCCAGAGCTGGTTTGGGAAGCCATGGTTCTGGAGGTAGAGGATCCGGTTCTGGAGGAGGAGGATTCAGCTCCGGAAGCTCTGGAGGCAGAGGGTCTGGCTCCAGAGGAGGTGGTGGAGGAAGCTATGGCTCTGGCTCCAGAGGAGGCTCTGGCTCTGGAGGAGGATATGGTTCTGGAGGAGGCTCTAGCTCTGGAGGAGGACATGGTTCTGGAGGAGGCTCTGGCTCTAGAGGAGGATATGGTTCTGGAGGAGGCTCTGGCTCTGGCTCTGGAGGAGGGTGTGGTACTGGAGGAGGATCCAGAGGCTCCATCTCTGCAGGAGGGTCCTATTCTGGAGGTGGATCCAGAGGAGGCTCTGGGTCCTGTGGGGCAGGTGGTTCCAGGGGAGGTTCTGGAGGTGGCTCTAGAGGGGGCTCTGGAGGGGGCTCTGGAGGGGGATGTCCTACCTCTGAAAGGAGTGGATCTAGTGACGCTTGTGGTTCCAACGTGACCTTCGCCTTTAGATAAAGATGGCATCTTGCCCTTGGCCTTCCTATTTCAGAACGTAGAAGCCTATCTCTGCACCTCTAATTGACAGCAAGTCAAATTTTATTGTCCACCTCTGTTGTCAGAGCCAGTGACACCCTCTGTCCCCTGGGGAAGAATCTGCATTGTCTAGCTTTGTGCCTCCAGCCCAGCGCCTGTCCCCTACCCCTCCCTCCTTGCAGCAGCCTTTGGTAGTCCTTTCCCAGCAAGTGTTTTGTTAAGGACCCCATCTTAAAACCTGTACCTCTCCCCAGAAAAACCCTGTTTCTATGTATATAGTCTATCTCGCTGGCTCTGTATCTTGACTGCTGTGCTTTTGGTGTCTGTACAATAAACTTCATTTGCAATGTATAACTTGTGATGTGTGTTTAATGTCAAGCCTTGGCAGAAGTGGGTAACCAGGAGCTATTACTCATTGCTGTCTAACTTAAGACACCAGAAAATGAGAGATTTGGGAATGATAAAAGAGGCTTCCTGAAGGAGGGATGTGCCGCCCTGAGGCTAAGGGCTTGGAGAAGCCAGAGTGTTTTCTTCTGGAAGTCTTTAAAAACAGGGATGTGGAGGAGCTGGTCTCGAGTCAGTGGGGAGGGGTGATGTTCTTGGAAGTTGTTTGCCAGATCTGGGGACTGTGTGTTGCCAGGGGATAGACAGGGGGACTTGGGGAAAACTTTCTTTTCCAGAAGAATCCCACAATTCTTACAAAATATTTTCCCATAGCTGCCACCCACTCCTTGCCTTATTGATAAGAGCTCTGGTGTGAGGTCTCTCCACAGAACAAACCAGCAGACCCCCCTGAGCACCATCCAGGCTGTCCAGAGCTCTGAGCTTTCAAGGCAGAATTCTCTCAGTCCACCTTGGTCACAGGTTCTCCCTGTCCCCATGGTCCTACGTCCTCATGGGAGCTCTCCACAAGGCCAAAGGAGACTATCTGGCCATCTCTCTGGAGGACCGCAAACTGGACTCCAAAATATAAAATGCCTATTTCACAGAACATGTGCCCCTCACCGAGAAGTTCTCCCACACACTCAGCAGATGGGGGCCTTCTCTTCTGCACTCTCCCACAGCCCTATGGGAACCCCAGCCCCTGCAATCCCAACCAGGGCAGCTGTCTCCTGTGGGTGTGAAAATGATTTCAGTCCCTTCAACAAAGGACCCCTTCCACAAAAAGCCTGACGTGCTTTCCCAGGGCCTCAGGAATGGCTGGGCAGCAGGAATGAGCCCTTGGGGTTGGCGTAGGCTGACCAGAATCCCCCACGTGAGAATTGGCAGCTTAGGCTGGGTCAGATCATAGCTTCATGTGCGTGGTGCTCAGCCATAGCAGATGTGTCTTGACACAGAAAAAAAATCACTGGGGGATTAATTTGTAATTCATTCTACTTTATCTCCCAAACCTTGTCATATGAGGCCTTATGCAGCATCATACTGGAATTCTGAAACAGTGCAATCATGCAAGAGAAAGAAATAAAAACAATCAGATTAGAAGAAGGAAATAAAACTTCATTTATTCATATTTGATGTGATTGTCTATGTAGAAGTTCCCAAAGAATCTATGCAAAAGCTACTAGAACTAATACTCAAATTTAGAAAGATTAATGGAAATTAATAATTGGAAGTTGAAATCATTAAGGCAGAACCATTTCTAAGAGCATCAAAAAGGTAAAACATACACAGATATATAGATAATAGGATTTGTGTATCATCCGTCTGCCCACAACCAAAAAACACTGATGAAAGAAATAAAAGAAGACATAACTCGATGAAATATACACCATGTTCATGGATTGGAAAACTCATATTGTGAAATATCAATATGGAGACTCCCCCCACAACATGGTAGAACAGAGGGTTTCGGGTCACTGGTGTAAGACTCCATCCCCACTATCACTGCATAAAGCTCTAAATGAGGGATCCACGGTGCCTGGCAGTCTATGGCCCAGGCTGGTGTTGGGGTATCAGCCGTTACTGGGCAAAGTGGGAACACAGCCCATTCTGGTGCCTCCCGTGAGGTAGCACAAAAAGGCCTATGTCTGGTGGCTTGCACTCCGCGTGCCTGGCCAGGTGCACATTGCCAGGTGACTCAGGCTTGGTGAAACACACCCCATGCCACAGAGACTAGACATGGGAGGCAGGGCAAGGTTCTAGGCTCCTGAAGCATTGAACAGAGCTCACTTTGGGAAGAGGAAGGGGGCGGACATGCTCCGTTGACCTGCACCTACCCCCTCACCCCTCACCAGCACTGAGACCCAAGTCTTTGCCTTCCCTTTCCTACCTGACGCCAATGAAAACGGAAACAAATAAGTCAAAATAAACCCACAGTAGCCAATCACTTCCCCCCAAAACAACTAAGGCAACACATGTGCCTAGGAAGCCAGGAATCTGAGCACAAGAAAGAAAAGCAGAAGGAGAATAGAAGTTGAGAGACATAGATAAAGGACGAGGAAATAGAGGACCTAACTGACTAAGAATTTAGAATAGCAACCTTTATTTTTAAAATTTTTTTGAAGATTTATTTATGCATACAAGAACTGGGGTGTAGGCCAGAGGTGCTGGGGGTTGGGTGAGAGGATTCACCAGAGACAGAGTGGGGAGCAGAACAGGCAGATCTACTGAGATACACTGCTGAGGGGAGCAGCGGGTGAGCCAGGAGAGGTCTGCCGCGCCATGTGGGTAGCTCCCTGGGCAGGGATCAAATTCGTGCTGCAGTGGCTGCTGATAGCTTCATAGTGCTGAGACTTAACCCCTTGCACCACCAGGGAGACCCAGAATAACAACTTTTAAAATGCTAACTGAGGTACCAGAAGGGTAATCAAAGACTGAAAGGTGGGTAAAGGGTTTTAGAGAAGAGTTCAGAAACAAAAATATTTTTTCACTAAAGAGAGTAAAGAAACTAAAAGAACATAAAAAAGAGATACTGAATGAGGTACTGAACTGTAATATGAGCGACGCAGGCTGCTGACCCTTGACAAAGGAGGAGGTAGAGGCTCAGGCTGCGTGACTGTGACCGTGACCCCTACCAGCCAGAGGCCTGGAGACCTGGAGATAGAGCAAGGGAGCCGGGGGCCTGCTCTTGAGGAGGCTGGGGGGCCCAGGGACAGGGGTCCCTGTGCACACACACACTCACTCAAAGAGAGGAGCAGATTAAAGCTTTGAGAGATCACCTCCCACCTGGGAGAATGGCTCATATCCAAAAGATCCCCAACAAGTGCTAGAGAAGATGGAGAAAATGGATCCCTGTGACACTGCTGGGGAAGGTGAACTGGTGAAACCATTATGGAAAACCATCTGGATTTACCTTCCAAAGTTAAAAATGAAATACTGTACTACCCAGCAATCCCACGCTTGGACACCTATCCACAGACTATGAAAAAAACAAACAAAAAACCCACAAAAACCCCGTATGTTCGACGGTATCCACAGCAGCATTATTTGCAGAAGCTGGGACTTGGAAGCCGCCTCAATCTCCCTCCATGGATAAATGGATCAAGAAGACGCGGTCCGTGCACACCCTGGAGTGCGACATGGCTACAGGGAAGGATGAAATGCAGCCGTTTTCAATACAACAGAAGGAAACTGAAAAAAATTATATACGGCAAAACAAGTCAAAATGATAAAAACAAAAATTGAGCATTCCTGTAACAGACAGTTGGACAATGTAAAACACTTTTAAAAAAAACCGGCCGTCCCGAGGGCTGAGGTTAAGAGGGCCGGGAGGCGCAGGGCGGGGAACACGGGGATGGTGGTAGCTGGAGGTGGTGCGAAAAAGGGTGTATTTCTGGTGTAAAAATAGCACCTGCAAACTCCTGATGGTCGTCAAATCAACCTATAGGAAAAAAAAAAGAAAGAGTTGGTGCCTTTTTTTCTGTTGGGGTTGCCCGTGGCCGGCTGTCCCGTCAAGGTCTGACTGGGCAGGTGGGACCAAAGGTCTATTCCTGTCTAGGATTAGGTGAGGCTGCCCTTGCCAGTGCCCCACCCCCCCACCCTACTTCCCCCCACCCCCCCCCCCACACACAGAGGAATGAGTCTGCTCTACATGTTGGTTTGGGCCACAAAGACCAGACTGGGCAGGACAAAGCAGTCCTGGTTAAGTGAGGCTTACGGGCCTGCGGTGAGGAGGCCCGGCTCTGACCCGCGCCTTCTCCACAGGTGAGCATAAATCTGTAAGAGTGTTACAGGGCAACCCCAAGAGAAGCAAATGCCTCCTAGGGCCGCAATCCAGGTGGTGTCCAGTTTGAAATGCCTGTCCTATGTGACCCATTGGACTAGGGGCTATGAATAGAGCCCCCGACTGTCTAGGTGAAGATTTTGTATCTCGTTTCCTTTTGAAGAGTTGCCTGCTTCTATCTCTAGCCATCCTCCACCTTCTCCTTCCAATAAACTTCAGGGGAAATCGAGGTGTATGTATGCATTATCTAGATGGGTTCTGAGTTGTTCACCCTCAATCACTGCCCCAGAAAACACACACTCACTCACGCACTCATGCACACACGCAGAGCACACATGTTCATCTGCTCTCCTCTCCTCTGCTCGGTCCTTGCCCAGACGGGTGGCTGGAAGGGACTGTTGGAAGGGCATGTGACTATTTAGTTTTGGAAGGTGGACAGAAATGACCTTTACTTCCCCTCTTTATTGGGAAAGCTCAGCTTACAATTTAAAAATAATTGACTTCAGGTCCCGGAGCCTTGCTGGGCTCAGCAGCAGAACTGCTGTCATTATTTCCTAATTAAGGAGTAATAGTTTTGCTATCATTGTTACTGGGATTGTTATCAGGTAAATGGCCAGGGGGTGTGGAGTAGTAAACAGTAGCCTGGGGGCCGGGTCACAGGGCAACTCTATGGCTTTATCTCCTGCTTCCACCAGGAAGCAGTTCCCACCCAGCACCCCAAGGGGTCCAGTAGTGTGGGTTGGGAGGAGGGTCTTACCTGGCCAGACTGAGCGCTCTCTTCTGAGCACCATGAGGAGGGAAGACAGCTAAGGAGAGGGTGGGCATAGCAATTGTTTGAGTGAACCCCGGGCTCCTGGAGAGGCAGCATTCATCCTTTCAACAATCATCAACTGAGCACCTACTATGTGCTAGACTGTCCTTGACACTGGTATAAAAAAAAGGTGACCGAGACCTTTGATTACTAGAAAGTGTGCACTGGGAGCCAGGGGCCAGACCAGGAAGATGGTGGCTGATCCTGAAACCTGGGAGCTGAGGAGTTAGCCAGGGCCAAGGACTATTCAGCAGAAGTGCTCTCTATCCCTTTACCCAGAGCCCAGCACACAGTAGGTCAATAAATATGGGTTGAAATGAAAAGGAGCTTAATAAGAACTTGACTGGTGGAGCTTGGAGAGAGA